AAATGAGACACACAAGCTTAAATGTTATGTAGTTTCTCTTGTATGAGAAACCCAAAGTATAAATAAAGACCAAAATAAAAGATAGATAATAGGAAACAGGGAGATAGATCTTTTGCAAATGGGAAGAGGACCAAGAGGTGGAGGGAGGGGAGCAAAAGGGGATGTAAAAAGAAGATGTGTAAAGTACTGTCTTAGTTATATTTTCTCATTGCTGAGACAAAATACCGACACCCAAAGTTAAAAGAGGAAAGTTTATTGTAGCTCACAGCTTGTAGAATTTTCAGTTCATAGTTGACTGGCTCCAAGGCAGGGTGGCATGGCAAAGGGGCATCACAGAGAAGAAACAGTTCATGGCAGGCAGAAGGCAGGAGGGCAGCAAGCAGCAGAATAACAAGCAGTAAGTGATAGAAGCAAGCTGTCCCTTATATACTATCCCTAAGTGTGGGGAGCACTCACACCCTTAATCCTAGGATCATACCATGAATCAATCTCAGCATCATATCCTTGAACCTAGCATTACACACTCTAGAACCAACAACCCCCCAAAAGCTCCACCTATGACCACATAAGGCTTTGGGGGAACATCTAGATTCAAGCCATAATAGGTACATGTACCAACTCTCCACAATTAATATAATCATCATGTACTGCAAACCTGTACTAATAAAAATTTTAAAGACTACCAGTTAATGGGCTTTTTTAAAAGAACTACACCCAAGTCAAAAGTTACAAATGCCTCATGTTGTCCTGATGTATTTTACCCATTTTGTTCATAGAACAATTCTGAGTTATCCCAATAGCAAAGCATAACTGGGCCCTAAAAGAACCCTCACTCATACACCATCTGGGTAACACTTCAAAGTTCTATAGTCACTAGCAGTTCTGTAGTCACTGTTCCACCTCTTCTATAGCAAATAGAAAAAAGTGTGATAAAATATATCTTCCTAAAAATGTATGGCTAGTAAGTCATAAAAGTTAAGAGTATTCCTTGGAGGCTAGAAATAGCAAAAAGCACTAATGCACAGAAGTAAAATATGAGAGAAACTGTCATTTGCCTCCAGGGTATTTTTAAATTGGTGTTTCTGGCACCCTAAAACCTGAGGGGTGGGAGAATAGAGCTTAGGGCCAGAGTACTGGGAAATCAGCTTTGACTCTCTCTCCTTTCTCCACCAGCAAGACCAGGATTTCAACTGGGTGGTATAATTTTTTTTAATCAGCATATATCAGTAGTAGAATTTAGGAATTTAAAATTTATAGGTGTTTTAACTTACATTCAGTTCTCTTCTTTTGCCCTGGTAGGCCCCAGGCTCTGAAAAGCCCTCTGTGGAGGAGTGTAAACCAGGAGTAAAAAGAATGGGGATATGACCAAGCTTTGGTCAGAGAGATCTTCAGTCATTGAGTTCAGCATTGTTGGCAACAACTAACAATCTAGGAAAACAGCAGAAAGTGAGAAATGACTGTTTAAGAAAAATTTGTGAACAAAGTGGGAAATGCAAAAAAAGGAAATAGTCTATCATATGGAATATTAGAGCTAGAGACAAAAAATATAACCACTTATATTCTATTTTGAATATTTTAAGACACTGTGGACCTGAGACTAATGATAATGAAGGAAAATTGGTGTCCAACTTGATTTACCTGCAATTAACTGCTTAATAATAAGGGTAATCACAGCCAGTGTTTTGGTTAAAACCATATGTCACAGAGATAGAGTGGCCATTTATGTTGGCAGATAGAACAACATGGCAGTGGGAGCCACCACAACAGTTGTGTTCCTTTATTGAAATGAATCACTTTATCTCTAGGAAAAAGCAACTTCTGCAAAAATCAAAAGGGGAAAAAACATGAAACACAGTCTTCATTTGAGGTAGCTGCAGAAAATTGCTTACAAAATTATATAGTATGAACAAGTGTCCTTATCATTTCTTGCATTAAAAAAATATGTGTGTGTGTCTGTATTAAAGCATTATGGTCAGATACTAAAATGGCTTGGATGCCCTCCAGTGGGAACTCATCCTTGAACTCTTAAAGTGCCTTTTAAAAGCCAGTGTATTCCCAAGTATGGCTGTTTGGGAAAACTAAGTATGGTAACTTGAATCACCATACTGACCTAGGAAAATATGTGCTTAGTTTTTTAATTATTTTTTAAAATTTCAACCTTTGCATAAAGCAACCTAAGTCCAAGTATAGTATATAAAAATTTTAAGTACAGAAAAATAACTGGCAAGTAATGATACCAAATTAAAACATTTGGGTATAGACATATGTACATTGATATGATTCTATAACAAGCTCTATGTAATCTGAAAAACTAAGATATAGTACAGGGATATAATTTCCTTCATGTCAGAGTGCTCATGGGTTGGAAGCTTTAGTGTGTCCATCCCAGTGATTTTAGAATGAACACCTTAAAGGTCTTCTCCCCTCCTTTTGTTCCTTTGCTTTCCCTGTGCTACTGCCTGTTTCATATATATACTTTGACATGTCTTTCCCCTAAAAATAGCTCCATAGTTCCAATAGTTCCATAGCTTTTTTACTTAATTTTTAGAGTACCAGCTTTTGGGTAAAACTCTTCTCCAATAGAGTCAATAATATTGCTCCAGCTCTACTATGCTCTACTTTCATATTTTCATATCGGTGCATCATTTATCCATTAAAAAAATACTATTTTGCCTCAAAAGTGTTATGATTATTGTAGATTATCAGTGTAGAATAGCTATGCTTACCTTTATTCTTCAGCTTTTATAACTTTTATTATCTTTTTTTACCTGCCATATAGAGTTGATCAGCCAGTAGCATTGACAGAAAATTGTAATTCACATCCCTGATTTGCCTTTGCCCTTTTAGAGTATCTGTTATCTGTCATATTGCTCCAGTGTTTATTCAGCAGTGCTATTCTTTTCTTTTCTTTTCTTTTGGTAAAAGTGCTCCATTTCAAAGACCTCACTACCTTTGTGTTGTCATCCCATCCACTTTCTAAACTTAAGAGGTAATTTTCATTAGCATCTGCCACACTAATCTTTTCCTGAAATGTGTGTTTATTTAACTTCAGGGCACTTGAATATTGAAGAATTATAAGGAAAATAAGTATAAAAGACCTACTGTAGCTCTAATCACAAATGAAGTTAAATATACATCTGTTATATCACTAACATGTTTTGAGAGACTTCTATGTGTAAGTCACATACTGTGTGCAATGAATAAAAAAAGCTGTAACTTTGCCCTTTAGGTGCCAAAGAGATAAGAGAAAGCAAAATAGCATATATGATATGTATAAATTATACAAAGATCAGTGAGGAATTCAGTTGTCAAGGAAAACTTTTTGAAAGAGGTGGGTTATTCTTAAACAGCATTAAAACAACAAAGTTGGAGGAGGGTTTTATAGGGGATTAGAACGGCATGAAAATGATACAGAGGCAAAACTGTATATAAGTCAGGCCAGCTGCCTGGGGTAGAGGTTCATTTAGCAAAGTAGTGAGATAGATGGATAGGCAGGCTCCAGTCTAATTACGAAGGCCTTAAATGCCCCCCGTAGGTGTATTAGCTTTGTATCATTGTGACAGAATACCAAGGTGGAGGAAAGATTTATTTTGGCATTTTTGGCTTACAGTTTCAGAAGTTTCGGTCCATGGTTACTTGGCCCTCATCACTTTCTGAGCTTGTGCTGAGGCAGAATATCATGGAGAGGAACATGTGGTAGAGCAAAGCTGCTCAACTTATGGAGGCCAAGAATAGAGAAAGAGCTCACTTTAATAGCAGATCCCTTTCACCAAAACCTGTTAAGCTATTAGTCCATAAATGGGTTAATCTCATGGTGTCAGAGCCCTCATGATCCAGTCACCTCCCAAAGGCCCCACCTTTGAACTTTGCTGCACCAGAGTCCAAGCCTTCAACCTATAGGCTTTGGGGGGACTTTTAAGGTCCAGTCCATCATTGTAGGCTTATACATAGAAGTGGTAGAGAACTACTGAACATTTTTGAGTAAGAGAATTATATATTGAAGATTGTTTTACAATTGTGAATTGTCTCTAATACAAGATTGGGTGAACACAGAACCCTTTAGGGACTCTCTAACCTTCTAGCAGTCTCAATATGAATTTATCAGGCCTTGAACTTGGTAATACATTGGAAAATAAAAAGAAAGAAACAGCTGTCTAAAACATTGTAAGGAAAAATTCCTCAGGACTCTAGTACTCTCATCCTTTATTCCAAGTATCTAATGGTCCCAGCTAGAAACTTGGGGATTGTCATGGATTCTTCCTTCTCATCCCTCAGCCCTACCAACTACCATGTCCTTTCACTTGTACCCCCTTTCTACTTCCCACTGCTAATATCCATGCTGAAGCTCTCATTGTTTCTTGCTTGATATTTCTAAAAAACATATCTGATCATGTCACTGTGAAAATTAAAAGTCTTTCTGTAGACTACGTTAAAGTTCAAGGCTCCTGACCTGACCTAAAAGAGGCCTCAAGGATTTGATCCTACCTGCACATGTCCCCTTCTCTGACCACTTCCATATATCTTATTGCCCATATGTTCCACGCATGGCACACCAGACTTCTCTCTTTAACCCCACCACCCTTCTTTCTTACCTCACTTTCCAGGAAATCTCGCAGGCCTCCTGTGTCCCTCCATGACTACCCTGTGGTTATTACTTCTATTATGACTGTTCAATAGTAGTATAACTTTATTGATAACTGGACTGTAAAATCCTTATACAGCATAAAACTATGTCTTATTTTCTTTGTGTCAAGCATCCCCAAGACCAGACATAATACCTGATACACAGCATTCAATAAATGATTAATGAAGGAAAACAAGAAAATTTAGAGACTGCTTGGATAAGACAGAAAAATAAAATTTTATATAATTTCAAGGTTTCAAGCACAGATAACTAAGAATGGTACCACCATTCTTATAAAAATAGATGTCCAAAAAAATGACTGACTCTGAGAGGAAAATTTCAGTTTTGATTTTCAAAATTTTAATTTTGCTTTCAGAGTCCCCAAGTGGAAACATCTGTCAAATAATTTGAGGTAAGGAATTCTGGACTCTTAGAAGACTAAACTCAATTTTTAGGCATGTTATTATAAGTCTGATTTCAAAAGCTCCCATCACATTGGCCCTGAATATTTGTCAACCTGGACAAATAGAATTTTATGTCTTATTTGGTGCATTATGATCCATCTGAAGTGTTCCTTCTAGCTAGTGCCTAACTCTGGAGTTCTGACTCCACATGTCGCTTGTCAACCAAATGGACATTCTCTCCAAGTATATTTTAATAATATGTATTTTACTTGCATTAGTTCAGTTGACTGTGATCTCAGCCTCAGAAGCATTTTATAAGAATAATATACCATTTATTGAGCTTTTATTAAAAATATCCTTGTGATAAAATCAAAAGCACAGAGGACATTAAAAATAAAGCATTTGGTCTGGGAGCAGCTTAGTGGTAGAGGCTTGCTTAGCATTCTTAAGACGCTGGAGTCGATTCCCAGCACTGCAAAAAAAAATAAAAGATAGCACTTGATTCTTTATCTAAGTGGTCTTCAGATCAGACTGCAGTTTAACAGTTATCAATGTTATAGTTCTTGTTTGTTCCCAGTAGCAGATCTTCCTAAGCAACTGTTTGTTTTGTAGGTTGCTGAATAACCATCATGATGATGCCTCTAAGTTCATCTATCTTCTGGCAAAACCTGGCTGCAGCTCTCTAGAACAAGAAGATTTTGTCCCTTTACTTCAGGTAGTTTTCATTTCCTTTTGAAAATGGGTTCTACTTTTGGAGTTTCAGAGATTTTTAAAAAATGTACAGCTCTAATGTACATCAATTCAGCTATATAGATCTAAAGGTCAGATTTCTGAAAGAATAGTTTTTATACATATTTTAGCAGTAAAATTATTTTGTTAAAATCTAAACCAGAAATCATAGTATAAAATATAGAAAACAGGGCCGGGGATTTAGCTCAGTGGCACCACACCTACCCAACAAGCTCAAGGTCCTGAGTTCGATCCCTAGTACCAAAAAACAAAAAAACAAATAAATATAGAAAATAGGGCTCCTTCCATGAAACAAAGGACAGGGGCTTTCAGCCTCCCTCTGCCCACCCACAGCAGGCCCTGAAGCACCTTCTGAAACTTCAGAATTCAAGAAGATAAACTGGGAAATGTTCATATCATATATAACTAAAACCTTATAGAAAGCAAATAAAGACTATGGAGTAACCAGAACCCCAGGCATTAGTCCTGAGATCTTCATTCAGTGCATCTTGACTCTTGATTTAACCCTATTTCTAAAATGCTTGGTTTTTGGCTGGAGATTTAACTCAGTGGCATTGCTGCCTGCCTCACAAGCACAAGGTCCTGAGTTCGATTCCTGGGACTGCAAAAAAAAAATGCTTGGTTTTTTAATTTTTTAACCCAATATTTATTTGAAACAGAAAATTAGAATAGGAAGAAAAAAGAGAAAACAACTGCAGTGAGAGCTACAAAGACAGGTGCTACCAAACTATAAAGGTACCCAGGAGAGAGGAAAAAAACTACTTAAGAGGAAAAAAGAAGAAACCACAAAGCCTGTAAAAGCACTCAATTTGAAAATTTTGAAACTAATTTAGGATAAGGGCAGTAGTTCTTGGTCTAATAAGTCTGTCAGACTTCTGCCAAGATCAGTAATTTATATTATTAGCATAGACTATATATAATCATCTATAAAACTCATGTATATGAAGCACTTCACTGATGGAACCAAATGAATGAAACAACAATATATTTCTCATTTTTCCTTTTCTATTTATGAAAATTTAAACTACTATGAATTCATATACTGTATTATTGTACATGTAGAAAGGATAATCTCAGACTAGAATAAGTCTCAGATACTGTGTATAAGAAGTGTATGTTTTTTGATTTTCTGGTACTTACTTGAATTTCTGACTTTAGCCCTCATACACCAAGGCAGAGGGAATTTTTAACCTCCCTCAGGTTCCCTGAGCCTGGAGCCATGTCATAGTTCTGAAGTTTTGCGTGATATCAAGACATTAGTAGCCAAAAGATCTCTTAAGATCTAGAGTTCTTTGCTGCTTCTGTGCCGTACATCAGGCTCCAAAATCTTTGATAAGACATCCAGGGCCCATCTTCCTATTGCACCACATAGCTATTTTTTCTTGAGGTTTCAGCTGCTTCCTTGGAGCTGTTGCCTAGCAGTAGAGTCCCTTTGCTCTTATCACCACAGATTTGTCTTTCTTTTTTTCTAACAGAGAGACATCTTCCAATCTACTGAAGTCCTCCTGTCATGTATCTTTATGTTTTCATCTCTGACCTGAACCCCTCCCTGTATTATCTACTTCCCTTCCCAGTAGGTGCAGACTTCCTGCTTACTAATTTGGGGCAGAAAAGAGAAGTGGCTTAGAAACCTCCTTGTGTGGCTTTTGTGGTACTGTGTGTTGTGGGTTTAAATGTGGCTCTCTAGAACAGAAGAATTTTATCCCTTTTATTTTACTTTTATTTTAGTTTTTATTTCCTTTTGAAAATGGATTCTACTTTTGGAGTTTCAGAGGTTTTGTAAAAACCTTATATCTCTAATATACATCAGTTAAGCTACACAGAGCTAGAGGTCAGATTTCTAGAAGAGTACTATCTAGGCCTTCCCATGAGAAAATTATCTGTTAGTATTGGATGTGTTTGCTGTACATTCTTTTTTTTTTTTTGGTACCAGGGATCGAACTCGGGTCCTTCCGCTTGCGAGGCAGGTGGTGGAACCACTGAGCTAAATCCCCGGCCCCTAATTTTTCTTTTCTTTTCTTTTCTCTTTTGGTACCAGGGATCGAACTCGGGTCCTTGCGCTTGCACAGCAGGCGGCGAAACCACTGAGCTAAATCCCCGGCTGCTGTACATTCTTCATGGCCTGAGATAGTGCTTGTTAATATTCTTCATGTCCTGTCTAAATATTTCATTTTCCTAAGCAGATCACAAATTCTCTGAAGCCAAGATGTGCCTTTCATTTTCGTTGAGTGCACATCATTGCTTTAGGCATCCCTGTAAATCCTTGCTGGCTGTTAGGTAGCCTATAGAAGGGCAAAAAAATTCACTGATACAGTTCGGATTTTTAAAGTTGTATTTATGATAGCTGCCTTTTTAAAATGTATTGTTTTTCACTGCCATCCCTATAATAAAACCACTTTCTACATACTGCCAGATCTGACTTCTAATAGTTTGTTTTGTTAAACAAATTTCTATCTGTGTTCATACTTTTTCTTTTATTATCTTTATCCAGTTTTAGGATTAGCACAATGTTGAGTTCCTATAATGAGGGGAGAAGTGTTCCTTCTTTTTTCTGCTTTAAATGTTTGGTATAATTTATCAGTTAAAATGTATATGAGCCTGTTGTCATATAGGTAGGTTTTCAAGCTAGGAATATACTTTCTTTAATAGGTGCTATTTAAATTTTGTATTTCCTCCAGAGTTAGTTTCATTAATTTGTCTTCCAAGGTACTTCTTAGAAGTTGTCAAATTTATTTCAAAAAGATTTTTGTAATATGCTTTCTGTATCATTTTAAATTCTGTAAAATCTGTGGCAATGTCTTCTAGATCTTGATATTATAATTTTAAAAATGTATAATTGATATTGTCTCGGAAGACAAGGTCTAAAGGAGTAGGGGAAGTGGGAGGGGTAGGGGAAAGGAACGAAGGGAAAAGAAAAAATATGAGAAAAGGAAAAAAATGGAAACAAAGTCTTTGCAAATAAGGAAGGGTGGAGGGGATGAAGGGAGGGCAGGGGAAAGGGAAAAAAATAAGAACCAAGATGCATCATATAAATGTACAAGATCCCAATGATGAATGTAACTGTATTTCATACCTAAAATGTACCAATAAACTTAATGGGGGAAAAAAAGAAGTCAACCAGTAACAAATGCTGGTGGGGCTGTGGAGAAAAAGGAACCCTTCTCCACTGTCAGTGGGAGTGTAGACTGGTGCAGCCACTGTAGAAATCAGTGTGGAAATTCCCCAAAAAAGTAGATTTAGAGGTTCCATTTGACCCAGCTATCCTCCTTCTTGGTATCTTCCTAAAAGAATTAAAACCATTATACCACAGTGATATATGCTCACCCATGTTCATAGCACCACAGTTTGTAATAGCTAAATCTTGGAAACAACTCAAATGCCCATCAACTGATGAATGGATAAAGAAGATGTGTGTTTTTTTTAAACAATGGAGTATTACCCAGTCCTATAGGATAATCTTGAGACATTTAGAGCTCAATGGATGCACCTAGAGACCATACTCATAAGTGAAATAAATGTACTACAGATTACACAAGTGTGTAAATACTACATTGTTTCTCTGGTGTAAGAAACTGAAAGAGTAAACGAGGACCAAAATGTATAACAGATGTTGTGAAATAGGAAGAAAATGTTAAAATGGAAAGGGGCACAAAGGAAGGGGGAGAGGGAAAGTAAGGAAGGGAAAGGGGAAAAAAAGAAAGATAAAGTGGAAACAAAGCTGAAATAAGAAGGAAAAGAGGGGTAAGGGGAAGGGAGGGAAATGGGAAAAAAATAAGAAGATATTTCATGTACAGGTACAAATTCCATATGATGATAGTGATCTTTATGTATATCTAAATTGTACCAATAAACTTAATTAATGATTAAAAAATGATTTTGATGACTAGCAAAAAATAAATAAAATAAAAAATAAAATAAAATGTATTGTTTTTATTGAAACGTACTTACACAAAACATCAAAATCACAGGTCCAGCACTCAGTGGATGTTCACAGTGTGGGCACCTGTGTAACTAGCACATAAATCAAAAAGCAACATCATTAACATCCACGGAGCGCCTTGGGCTCCACACTAGTCACTGCTTCCCAGGGTAACCACAGCCTGATTTCCTAGAGCACATAACAGATTTTTACTTACAGTAACAGTTGTTCATGTTTAAAAGACAAAGTTTGGTTCTGGTTTTATTTTACACCCTTTGAACTTATCTTAATTTACATGATGACTTTGATTGTAGTTCAGGCTGGCTTTGACCTCACTATGTAGCCCAGGATGACCTTGAACTTTTGACAGTCCTCCTATCTGAGCCTCCTAAGTGCAGGGATTACAGGCATACACTACCACTCCCAGCAAGGTTTTGTTCCCCTCAAAATATACTGAGAATGAGCACTCTTTTTTTTTTCTGGTACCAGGGATCGGAGAATGAGGACTCTTAATGGGTATTTTTAATCAGCATCATTATATGTAATAATATCCAGCATTATATATATCTATTTATGTTTTATGAAATCTCAAATATTCAATATTTGAACTATGTTGTTAATAAAGCATTAAGTTTTATTGCCATTTTCCATCTTTTGGATGGCTGGTTGGTTGACTTGCTTTCTTTCTGTATGTGTTACTGGATATTGAATTCAAGGCGTTTTTATTGATCTCCAGCCCCAGGCCTCCCCCTTTTTTTTTAATTTTGAGAATAGGCCTCTGTAAATCATTAAGTTGCCCAAGATGGGATTGAACTTGTGATCCTCCTGCCACAGCCTCCTAGACTGCTGGAATTACCAGGCTTTCTCCATTATACCTGTCTTCAGCTATCTTTCTGACTAACCTTAGTTGGGTATGATTGGGTTGGAGAAATACTGCCAGCAGATGGGATGGCAGAAGAGAAAGAAATTGGCATTTCTTTCCCATTGCCTGCTTCAGCACAGTAACTGTATCTTTCAGCCCCTTATTTGTGGTTCACGTTCCTATG